AATTTTCGTCCGAAAGATTTTTTTCCTCCAACGAATACAGAAATTATAATAATAATTAATAATTATTACAGAAATAAGCATTTCTTAATGAAGGCTATATTGTGAGATAGTGTAATTGACCACAAAATAATTAAATAAATAGTAATAATAAAAATTGAAACTGTTGTTGATTATTACTGTTGTGCAATCATCCCTTCGAATGTATTTGAGTACATAACAATTAATAATAATTAATTAACATTTAATAATAATTAATTAACAATTAAAAATAATTAATTAACAATTAATAATAATTAAATAAATAAAAAAATTGAAACTGCGGTTTATTATCGTTGTGCAATCAATCTTTCGAATGTATTTGAGTACATAACCATAAATAATAATTAATAATATCAATAATAATCAATATTTTATATTATAAACTTAATATTTTATTTGTTTAATTTATATAATTATTCAAGCGTAACCACCATCATGACATGGATTGTAAATTATTCATGTTTAAATTGAATACAATTCTTCGTAATTGCTCTCAATAGTAAACTGAAAAAAAAAATATATATTCGAAAGAGTTGCTAATTTGAATATCTTTCTATAGATTTTTGATTTGAATTAATCACCACCTTTTACACTTCTAGTCGCCTGTGGAACTCCGGCAAATCGGTCTAAAAAATTTTTTTCATAGGGCGAACTATAGTTCGTCTGAAATAAGAACTCCCCCAGACATTCGTCTGGACCTGTGGCGGTGGCTATGGTAACGAGGTATGACTATTTCAAGTAGGGGTGCTGGGTCACTGTTTTAGAGGGGTGCTGGGTCACTGTTTCTCTCGCCTTGGAACGGCGAGAGAAAGGGAATCTCTTTCTTCGGTCGATTGTGTCAGTCCTAGAGTGAAGCTACCCTCCCTAAAATGTGCAATTCTTGTTTCCATAGCACCAGACGTCCTCCAAACTTTGTGGCGGGAGGAATTCTTAGCTTAGACAAACTATAGTTATGGTAGTATTGTGGTACTAGTATTTTCAAATTATCTGAGGAACACAAGGGCGGCGCCAGTAGGGGGTCAGGGGGGGGCAATTGCACCTCCGTCGGGCATGGCCAGCTCCCCCATCGGGAAAAATTTAGAGTCTCGTCGGGAAAATAGTCTGGTCACATTTTTTTCTAAATAATGTCAAAAAATGCCTAATAAAAATTTTTGTAGTTAATTTTTTATTTTTAAGAATCAGTAACAAAAATTAGTAAAATATATTGTAAATTCTATGTAATTGTAGTTTCACTGCACTACTTGTAACTTTGCCCATACATTGTTAAACTAGAGACCGGATGCGATTAGACATGGTTGAAATTGGCGACTTTTCGAAGTCCCTTAGAAATCCTTTCCCACAGACACATCTTCATTTTCTTGGAACAAAAGCCTGGGGACAGAAAGAGACGCAGGTCCCCTTCTTTACAAATTCTTTTTTGATGTTATGTGTTTATCAATGGTTTATGGGATCACATAATTGTTTTTTGAAATTTTCAAGTAAAATGAAAGTATACGAAAAAAAAATTTCCAATTTTTTTTATACTTTTAAATGAGGAAAATCATTTACTTATTCGGATTCAAGGTTTATATTTTAATCAACGCAATAAATATGCAGTCGGAAAAAAAGTAACAAATTTTTTTAAATTTATTATTTTTTTTTATCATTGTCTTAGTAGTAAAAAGATTGTTGATTGATACAGAAAAACAATTAAACTGTTCGTATTCAATATCTTTAAATATATATTAATCAACAGATTCTCATTGACTTATTTTATGTACAGTGTATGAAATGGAAGAAGGGAACACCTTGATTAACTTTGGATTTAATCATATTTTCACCTACAAAGAGTCAATACCATATTTTAAGTTACAAAAATGACCAGAAAAGCGCATTCTGTTCTGGATAAACCTCCAAGTTAGTCTATAGTTTAATTTTCAAAATGAGGAAACAGCCGCAATCTGGAAGATATGGTCTGAAGTAAGTTACAGCTGAGAGAGATTATTGGAAAGTATGGGTCCTTTAATTTTAACTTCACTCTTCGATTATAGCCTATTATCTCGAGAACTTTTTGAATGTATTGAAAAAATTTTGCATAAAATAACAAAAAACATTTTACACACAAATTTTTAAGCAAAATTAATTTTAAATAATTATTTGTTATTTTTTATTAGTAAATTGTATTAGTATTAGTAAATTTTATTTATAGTAAAATTTATTGAATTGTATGTTCAACATATTTTTACATCCTTTTAATTTCAAAATACAAACCTTCAGTGCAATCGATCAATTAGTTTATGAGTTATCAAATTTAAAAAAAGTCAGTTTGCTCTAAATTTTATTTATCTTGAATTATTTAACCGATTTCTTTCAAATTTTGTATTTTACAATTTAAAATTACCTTCCATAAAAATTTGTATATCTTGCTATTTTATTTTAACCGTCGTTGAATAACCGACCCAATTTTCGGGTTTACGACTACTAATGTTCAACTCCGTAGCTTTGTAATTTTGAACCAATCCAGAAGACAAGAAAACTCCTGAATAAGTACCCCCATAGGTATTGATTTGTTATGGGAACCTGGAGGACTTTGTGACTCGACATATTTAACGTGCATCATCAGTATCCATTTACTACACGGGGATTTCAAAAATCGGGATTCAGAATTTTTCCAACGCATATTATAAATAAAAATATAAAAAGTATTAAATATTTTATAACAATTTAAAACTATATTTTTTGCATGGCATTACCTTTGGAAAAACGAATTTTTGCAATTGTATGAAAATTTTTTCGATTCAATCAAAACGCAAAACGTTCTTGAGATATGACGAGATTGAGATACTATCATCATCATTATCATTGAGCTATTATTTCCACGCTATTACTATGCAATTATTATGAAATTAACAAAAGAGGACAAAAGGAAAGACGTTTTTATTTATTTATATCTGATATTAATATTGAAAGTGAACATAATTTCACCTTATTTTCCTCTTTCAATCATAATCCTTAAAATTATCAAAGCATATGTATATGGATAATCACCAGCCAAATTACCTTTCTGTATAAAAATGAAAAATTATTTTGCTATTATCAGCAATATTGACATATACTTCAAATGAATGTGCAGTGCGCAAAAAAATAAAAGGACCCACAGGAATAAATTTTAATCTTAAATTCGGTTCTTCATGTTCTAGGACTCATTCGTACCATCTAATCGAAGTGTTAACAAACATAAAATAATTGTTATTCTTCACTTTTCTAACCAAAAGAGCAATAAAACGCTTTTTCCACTGATGAAAGTATCCCCACTTTCGTAGCTACCACCCACAGAGCTGTCAAGTAGCCTCCTCACTTTACACTGTGAGAAAATGTTTTTAGCTTCTTGATATTGCCTAGGGGCTCTTTTTTCCTAACTTCGGAAATATCAGATATCCACAGAAACACCCTTTTGTTTGATTTCTGGGTCATAAATTTCTAAGAAGAAAACATTTCTAGGGCTGTAAATAGGGGGAGGCTCTTGTTAGAATCTGTCTTGAGATTTTCACAGTGTCTTTAAATTGCGACTCGTTCAATTCGAATTTTTTTCTCTTACAAAATTTAGATATTTTTTCTGATTTATTATAAAAGCTTTTTTTTCCTTTAATCATCCTAAATGTTTCAACTTGCCTGATTGTTTAATTTATTTAATTATTAGCTTTGTAGTTAAAGTAGTAATATATTTTGATTATAATTTAATTAGAAATAATCGAATAAAAAACAGTGACTAGTCAGGTACAATTTTTTTCCACCTTCTTAAACACTATACAGTCGAACTCGTTTATAACGAGCTCGGATTTAACGAGAACTCGGATTTAACGAGGGAAACGAGAATATTTGGTTGGATCAATGTTAAGTCTATGGAACAGAAGTCGCTTTTAACGAGCAAGACCCGGTTTTAGCGAGCAATATTTTTCTGTCTTGCAATCTTTTTTCTCATCTTNATGGAACGCGAATTAAATAATTTCTAACAATGCGGAAGCGCGAAATACATAAAAAAAAGAAAGAAAAAAAAACGAAATAGAAAATAATATGACTAGTAACGTCGTATCATATAAATGCTGGAAATTTTCTTGTTTCCAACGTTTGAAATTTGATTCAATTGGCTAATACAGCAGGATACATGCATAATCATTCCATCCAGTTTTCAGAAAAACGATCTGTAGATCACATGACTTTCAACCATTCCTCTTTGATCATACGGGGCTCAGTCAGTTTTCTCAGCTGTCATCCTCCCACAAAGGACTAACAAAAACAAATCATCACGTGCTTATTTATCAGATTTATTATCGTACAACGCTATATTAGATGAATTTTCCTCAACCGGTGTTAACTTATAATCAAGTGTTCTTCTTGGGATTTAAACTGTTAATATTGTTGTGTTTTTATTTGAATTTTGAAATTGTTATACACTGAAGTAAGTATTAACGTAATTTTTGTCAGTTATCTTTTCATAAATTTGACATAGCTTATTTTTATGTTGCTTCGTTTTGATTTACGATTGTTTTCATAAATTTTTATTATTGTTTTTATGTCTATGTTCATTCAGTCATAATCTTTTCATAGTTTCGATATAGCTTTATTTTATGTTGCTTTGTTTTGATTAATTATTATTTTTATAAATTTTTATGTTTATCTATGCTCATTCAGTCACTATTGTTATGAATCTTTAAAACAAACGGGGATTTAGTTGTAATGCTTAATTATATGTATATTCCGAAAAAAATTCTTTACTCTTTATTGTTTATTTCATTCGTTTCTTTTAGATTCTCTTCTCATTATTGTGTAAATTGTTAGTTATCGATTTCGTTACTATGAGATAATTGTTCTAGTTTGGAATGATACTGCAATTTTTAGACCTTCTCAGCTTAATTTTTTAAAACTGATAAGTAACTAATTCGTTTCGATAATCTTATCAGTTTCTTTGAATGTAAATTCTGATGATACATTAAATGCTTAAAGGGTGATTTGTAAAGTTGATAAACTATTCTGATAAGATTGTTAATAAAACTGGTTTTTCCATTGAACTGATTGCAGATATCATTTGTTTAAACTGCAACATAGGAAAACTTAAACAAGTAGGTATTTATTTTCTTTAATATTACAGGTCTGGATATCTCAAATTTGAGGGAACACTAAACATTTTTTGAGATACTGAGTTTTGGAAATAATAAGTCCATAGCTAAATATGTTCTAAAAAGTAGAAAATATATTCTAAAATAGTACTCTAAAAAGTAGATCGATGAAACATAAGAATAACTTCTAATAACTATATATGTAATGATAATTGACTAAATACAATAATAATATTTAAAAGTTCGACAAAACTAATTATTTAAATAGAAAAGAATTGGTTTACAATAAACTTGCGTTGTCATTTTTCCGAAAAACTTTATTTTCTATTTTGAAAATTATTCGACATTACAAGGTTTTGAGAAGAAACTCTTCGGCATAGGAATTAAAATTAATGTTAGATGGATACGTAATGCCAAAGGAAAAAAAAATTTTTTTTGCCTTAGCAGAGTTTTCGAGATATTGAGTATACTGTATTTTTAAATGATTTATTCATTTTATTTATTTTTCAGTTAATTATTGAATACATCTATCGATAAATAAATCTATTTTAAAATGTTTCTAAATTTAATTTATTTTATATTCTGTGATTTGCATAAAACCGTTAAATCAATTAAATTATATAATATAAATATCAATTTAAAAAAAAAATAAAAACATGTTGTATAGGTATTTTTGTAGTTATTTCCTATCAAACTGTCGTAAACGCTCTATTTCAATTCTAAGTTTTGATGATTTTTGTTTTCATTGACTTAAAAAAACCTGATTATGCCTAAAAATTAAGCATTTAAATAAAATTTTATTTTAAGTATTTGTAAAATTAAATTTACTTTCATTTATGGGCATTTATTTTAAAGCTAATAAAATGGTTTGAAATATTTTTTTCTAAAATTTTGGTTTTAATAAGTGCCACAATGAAAGTAGTTGTATAATTATAAATTATTTTTGTTAAAATTTAGGGGTTTTAAGAAAATTTTATCAAACTAAAATTATAAACAAGTGAGAAGTATAAAACTGAAATAAATCATTTTGTTTTGATTGAACCAAAAAAAAAAGTTGAAAACATTTAAAATCTATTAAATATTTTTAAATGCTTGGTTTTAGAAAAATTTATTAACTAAGTTTTGCTGATCATTTGATATTTGTTTTAATTTTACTTTTCACACAAAAAGCTAAGAAAAATTAATGAGTAAAATTAAATTAAGTTTGCTTGAAGATTCATTTGATCTTTGTTTTAATTTTACTTCTCACGCTAAAAGCTTAGAAAAATTAATGAGTAAAATTAAATTAAGTTTGCATGATAATTGGTTTGATATTTTTTTTATTTATTTTACTTCTCACACAAAACACTAAGAAATATTAATGAGCAAAATTTATAGTCTTTTATTAGTCCCTATTGCAATTTAATTTTCACTACTTCTTCTTCTTCTTTGTCAGCACAACAGTCCTTTGCAGGCCTTGGCTGCCTCAACAGCTGGCAAAAGCCAGTGCCTCCTATCCATGGCAACTCCCTTCCAATTTCTCATCTTTAGGGTTTTCACTACAAGAAAATTAAAAATAACCAAAATTATTTGAAGATTTCCATATCATGATCACAGAAGTTAAGTGGCAACTTCTGGGCAGCTGCCTGTAAAAAAAAAAAAAANTATTAATGAGCAAAATTTATAGTCTTTTATTAGTCCCTATTGCAATTTAATTTTCACTACTTCTTTGTCAGCGCAACAGTCCTTTGCAGGCCTTGGCTGCCTCAACCGCTGGCAAATGCCAGCTCCTCCTATCCATGGCAACTCCCTTCCAATTTCTCATCTTTAAGGTTTTCACTACAAGAAAATTAAATGTAACCAAAATTATGGGAAGATTTCCATATCATGATCACAGAAGTTTCAAAGTCTTGGCAACTTCTGGGCAGCTGCCTGTAAAAAAAAAAAAAAAAAAAAAAAAATTTTCATTGAAGAGGATTGGCATCAGGCAAACCTCTGCATGTTTTTTTTTTTTTTTTTAAATTGAAAATTTTGCTTTTTGGCAGTTGTAGTTGGAGGTACAGATAAGGATAGGGAATTATCCCTAAAATTATCAATGAATGTGTGTTCAAACTAGTTAAATTTTCTCTGGAGCAGTAGAAATTTTTTTCACTGAAATTAAAATAAAATTATCTAGAGATTAATTATTCAATAAGGATTATTGAAATAATATTCTAATTTAGAAGACAAATGAACTCTTTAAATAATTTCTGTTTATTGTGAAATATAAATATTTTTTATCCAAAGTTTTGAAGTATTATCCTTATTTAAATAGTTTTTTCCTTTTCAGAATGAAGCATATTTGTATATTTTTACTCGTAGCAGTAGCAGCTGCTTCTGCTAGACACGTCATTCCTAGTCATGTTCATCCCCTGTCAGACAAAATGATTGAGTATGTCAATTACATGAATTCCACATGGAAGGTTTGTATATTGTGTTAATTTTAACTTCTTTAGTTCCTATTTCCTTATTAATAATTTTCTGTAAGCTGAGCATTAAGCAAAATAAATTCCTATTAATACATACTCAAACACATATACAGGATAATTAATGCATGTTCAAATACATATACTGTACAGGATAGTTGACACATACTCGAGTACATGGTTTTTTAATGATCGCTCTTTAAGTATATTTGTAGAATCTTTTTCAAAATTAAAGTTATATAAAAGAATGCAAAGTATTTTAACAAAGGGAATAATAAAAAAAACTGAGAAAATCTAAAGAATCACTACTGATAAAAGTAGGTCAAAAAACAATAAAGTCTATTTCATTGCCATAGAAAACATTGAAAGGCAATTCTTAGAAACTCCTCCAAGTTTTCTCAGGCAATCAGACTGGTTTTAATATTTTCCATCTCATCTTCCTCCCGAGAGATTTAACAGATTTAGATAATATTTGTGTTACTTTGTTTAAATGGTAATGTTTTCTGACCATCTAATATGAATACTTTCTTAACTTTATAAATAGAAAAAAAAGGAACACTTTGTAGAGTTTATTTATCGCAGATAATTTGATGATTGAAAAAGTGAAATTTCAAATCTTTTTGGATGGTGGGTAAAGACAAACTTTTGTGAGACTCAGCAGATAAAGATAAAGTAGAATCTTTGGCAGAATGGGATTTGTACAACCTCAATTTACTATATAAGTCGACTACTGAGAAAAAAAAGCAAATCTAAAAGTTTTTAAAATTAGAAAAACGTAAAAAAATTATTAAGTCTACAAAATTTTTTCAGCTTAAAAATATTTCACATTGTTCTCTCTGGATATTGTTACATTTTTCTGCATATAAAGATGCATGGTATTATTGATTCTGGCACATATATTATTCTGAATTTTTGGAACTTGTAGTTTTATGGCTTGTTTAAAAGCTTTCATTGTGTTTGATTTTTTGAAATTTTTTCAAATTAATTTTTTTAACTTATTATTAATTTTTTTCTGAAAATAATCTTAAGTATTGTTTATTTAAAAACCATGATATGTAAAGAAAGCATGAGAAGAGAAAAATAAAATTACTTGTATTTTACATATGAAAAATAGTTTTTGAAAGGGGATAAATTGATACTGAATTATTCTTGTGTATCTCATTGTTTATAATGCTTTGATATTTCCCAATCAAAATATATGTCAGAATTTATATCTGATTTATAAGTTGATCCTCTGATTTTCATAAAATTTAAGGATTTGAAAAATTGATTTATACAACAGGGTATAAGATAAATATATTAATAAAATATTTATACATAAACTGATTGTTCATTTATAATTTTTCTAAATTGTTGTAGGAATTAATTAATTATAAAGTGCTCAATTCTTCCTTAAATGAATAGAAATGATTTTCTTCATTGGTTTGAATATAGTTCTGTAATGAATAAATCTGAAGTATCAATCAAATGTCATTTTAAGGCAATAGTTTAATAAAATTAAAACTTAGAAATTTTATTTACTAATTGTTTTCTTTATTTTTATGAATGCTTCATGTGGGTTACTATATAAGTTAATGTCTTGTTATTGAAAAAATTCTTTATTTTTAGGCTGGTAGAAACTTTGAAGGAGTTAGTTTGAAATACATTAAGGGATTACTAGGTGTTCACAAAGATAATCACAAGTACCGTTTACCTTCAATTAGGCATAGAGTTCCTAGAGATCTTCCTGATTCTTTTGATGCTCGTGAGCAGTGGGCAGATTGTCCTTCAATCAGTGAAATCAGAGATCAGGCATCTTGTGGTTCATGTTGGGTAAATAGATTTTTAACTTGCTCTTTTATAAAAAAATTACTTATTTTTAGAATTATCAGAGAAATTATTTTATTTTGCAGTAATTTATTTATGTTAACTGTATCAATGATTTTTAGTAAATTAAATTAATTTTAACTTTATCTATAAATATGATACATGTAATTGCTGTTTTATTAAAATGAATAATGTTTTATACTTTCATTGATTTTGCAATTCTGGAATTTCCAAAAATTGCTGAATCAATTTTTATTAATTTTAAATTTTTACTTTTTTATTATAAATTCAGTCATGCTAACTATAATTTCATGTAATTTGGTTACTGTAATGGTAATACCATACATGCCAACTTTTAATCATTTCAACAATGGTTTCCTTAAGTGGTAGTAAAATTAAAATTGAATTCAATTATATAAAGAAATATATTCTTCAGTTTTAAAAGTTTAAGCTTCACTATGGTATGATTATCATACTTTTTTGTTTATGCTTTATTTTTTTAATAATGCAGTGGTGGTCAGAATTATTTTAAATTAAGTCCAAGAAATAAGTAGAAAGCATGTATTTCAGTACCACTTGAAGTATAATAATAAAATTTTGTGCAAAATGCATAAAAATTGGCTGCTATGCTATGCTTAGCACCAAATCTTAAAATTTTATTTAATTTTTCAGGCGTTTGGTGCAGTTGAAGCTATGTCTGATAGAATTTGTATTCATAGCAATGGCAAAGTTAAAGTAGAGGTTTCTGCCGAAGATCTTCTAACTTGTTGTGATAGTTGTGGAGCAGGGTTTGTACAGTTTTTCCTCATTTAAAAAATGAAATGATAATTCAATAAAAAAAAAAATAAAGTTTTTTTTTTACTGGCAGTGTTGTATTTAAGTCTATGCATTTAAATTTAAATCAATGTAGTATATTTTAAATATCTTAATTATTTGTGCATAGAATTCTGTAATTATTTTACATTTTATCCCTGTTTTTAGATAAATATTGTTCCCAAAGAGAATTCTCAAAGCAATTTTTTTTAGAAACTTTAACTCTAAGAAAAACTCTATTTTTAATGGCTTACATTTTAATTTTGTTTCATGTTATTCAAGCACATAAAATTCTATCTTCATATTTATTTAATTGAATTAATGAGTATATTTAGTTTGGTTTTTATTTATTATTAAAAGCTGATTTTGTTCAAGCAAAATTCCTTCTTTATTTTTATTTGCTTGTAAAAACATGGTAGTAATAGAATTCTATCTGTGCAACTACTTGTTAGAAGGTAAAGTTCATACGACAAGAAAGTTTTTTTCTTGTTTTATAGATGTTAATCTGAAAGATTATTTTATTTTTAAATGCTATCTTGTGTTATGTCTGTAGAAATTTCTTCTATTCCTTTGCTTTTCACTTATATTTGTTTCATTGACATGCATTTTAAAATATGTTCTACAGATTTCTTTTCAAATTTTTATTTTATTTTGAAATGAATACCTAATATATGAATTAAATTTCTGTTTCAAGCTACATATCGCAAAGATTATTGTTTAAGTAGAATAACTTGTGAAAATAAGAAAGTCTACTACTCTCTTGAAAGTCTACTATTTAAAATTTTGAAATTTTATAAACTGTTTTAAAAGTCTCAACTTTAAATATATTGGTGTTCTGCTTGTAGTTTCAATTGTTTTTCTTTCTTTTTAAAACCAAGATACATTTTGTTTCGATTGTTTGCTTTTCTTCCTATCATGAGAACTTAAAATAGAATCTAAAACTTTTCGGCTTTTACTATAGTATTTTATTAAATATGATAACTAGTACTAATTACATTTTGTTCCAATTTATTGATTTGATTTTTTTTAACCTATAATTAAAAAAATGCTTTTGTTTTTACATAAAAGAGTAATGTTCGAAATTTTTGTTTTTTCCTTTTCAATTGCTCAATTTGCGTTTTGGTAAAAACATAAATTTTTGCTTTTTTTACCCTTTTGAAAAATTAAGATCATGTCTAAGTGGTGTCGATTATTAGTATAGTTAAATTCATTCTGTTTTAATTGATTTACACACTTGTTAAAAGATGTTTCTGTCTTCACATTGAAGAGAATATCCAAAATTTTCTAGTGTTTGCTATCAAACTATTGCTATTCGTTAGCAGCAAGCTATATTTTTGTCCCTTTTTTTACTTAAATTAAATCTAGAACTTATTTAATATTAGTATTTTATAGAATATTTGTAACTTCTAATTTTATTTTGTTTCAACTGATTTATTTCAGTTAATTAATACACCGCTTCTGTTTTTGTTTAAGCGTATAATGTCTGAAATTTGTTTTACAGGTGCGAAGGTGGATACCCTGGATCTGCCTGGGAATACTGGGTGGACAAAGGTATTGTTTCCGGTGGTCTTTACAACTCACATGTCGGTTGCCAACCATACATTATTCCTTCCTGTGAGCATCATACTAAAGGAAAACTACCTCCCTGTGGAGATATTGTTGACACTCCCAAGTGTGTTAGCATGTGCGAAAAAGCTACAATGTCAGTTACAGGGCAGACAAACATTTTGGTAATAGTTGGTTTTGAATAATTTTTTATTTGTGTTTTTACACTTGTTCAGTGACCGAATAATTTTACACAATTCAGCTTCATAGCTGAACAAAAAGTTTTTTTTAAAAATAAAAAAAAATCTTCTGAACACTTTGCAGTTCGAACAATCTCTCCGATACTGAGGATTGATTGCGTACTGATAGTTTACAAAATGGGGAAATCTCCTTGATTTGCCAGCGGAGTGTTAAGAAATTCTTTGTATAATGCATAATCATTATAACAATTAAAAAACACATAGTATTCATTTATCCAAATTAATTTTTTTTCAATTGTACCTATTGAGATTGAGACAAATTTATGAACTATTAAATTATTTAGCCTTTTAATGTATTAAAAAATTTAAAGAAATCAATAATAAATGTATAAATCTTTCAGTTTTTTTTAATTTTTAAGCATATATTGTGAATTTTTTTCTAATTAGTCATTTTTTTGAAGTTCAGCATAACTTTTCTATGAGTTTGTTTATGAATGTAATGTTAAATAATTAACTTATACAGATAGTGGAAAATCTGAAATGAACTAACCGTACCATTAATTATTATTATTAAAAGGAATATGTTTGGTTTATAACTGTGTAATTTTTACAGTACAAATTTATGTGCTTTAAGCAACTCTTAATTTAAGTTAATACTTAATAGCTTTAGTGTTTTTATGCTTTTTACAATAGTAACCTAATAAGTTTTTTGTCTAACCTTTTCTTTTTAAGTTTCTTTATTTTTCTTGTTTATAAAAGAGTTGACTTCTGAAAAGCAGTTTTCTTTTCTTAGGTTTAGTTTTTGAAATTCAGCATTGTTACTTGTTTATAGTTACTAGTATAGTTCCTAACATTGTTGCTAATTTATAATATAATGTTTTATAATTAAGTTACACTGAGAGGGAATAACTTAAAAAGAGCTAAATAAACCATTAATGTTTAATATTATTGAAAGAAATTGGTTTGTAACTGTGAATATTTCAGCTGCTCAAAATTATGTGATTCATAATTAAAGTTAATTTGTACTTTGTAAATTTAATGCTTACTAATTATTTACTTTATTACTGACTATACTGTTTTCTTTATCTTCATTTTTTAGGAAAGAAATCATACTCTATTGACAGCGACGAAGACCAAATAAGGACTGAATTAGTAACTAATGGACCAGTGGAGGCTGCTTTCACTGTTTACGCTGACTTTGTTACTTACAAATCAGGTATATAAGTTTTTTATTGATGTGTTTATATTTATTTTTTAAAAAAATGCTTAGTGGATAAAATAGCATACCCTGAAAGAAATAAAAGAATTTGCATAATTTCAGAAAATAACTTTGCTAGTGTTAGCAAAGTTAATGTATTAATATTTCAAAAAATTATAATTAAATTAATTTAATCGCTACATACTATGAATAATTTAAATGTATATATAAAAGGACAGATTGTCAAATGATCGTGATCTTAAATTGTAATAAGAAAATTATCAGAATTCTATTTGTTTGAAAACCTTCTGCTTTGGCACCCTTACCACTGGATATAATATTTTGTACAGATTTCAAATGTTGGAGGGTATGTAATATTTAAAGAACAAGAAACTAGTGAGATAAAATTCCAAGCTTTATTCTGAAAACTCACAAAAGTTTGGGGTCAAAATCGTTCTACAATTGACTGTAAGAATATAATATTTTTTTCTACATATGAGGCAGTTTAAAATATGAATTATAAACAGCTTCCTATTCTTGCTATATTTATCAAAGACTTTTCTTTCAAAATTCACTGAAATGATTTTTATCATGTATTTTTTACCACTAAGCTCTTAACGTACAAACATCCATATGTATACACATATTTCAGCTTTTAAAACAAAATTGATTTTAACTTGGTTCCCATTTTTTATTTTAAAGCTATAAAAGAAAATATTTCACTCTTTACATACAAATCTTAAACAGCAAACTAAGAATACTGAAAAAGGTTTGCCATACAAAAAATAAGTTCTTGCAATAACACTTGTAGTTAATTTTTATTGCATTTTTATAACTCTATAAAGTGTAAATTGTAAGTCTTTAACTCATTAGTTTTTAATTATTTTTAGTATGAGTTTTAAATGCACAGCTTAAAAGTCTTAGTTACTGCTAATTTCAAAAATCAACTTATATCAATTTAAAATGTGAAATAATATGTAAAAAGTATTAATATTCAATATTCTATTTACTGTAATTTTATGTATAATTAACTATATATATACCATAATTTAAGATGCCTATTTCAATTCTTTATCAAAAGTGACACCTAAAACATATGTTAATGATAAATCTGTAGACTAACTTATAATATATTTAACTTCTGAATAAAAAAATTTAAAAATGTGTATCTATGTGTATTTTAAAAATACTTATTTTAATTTTTTTAATAAAAAAATTTAAAATGTGTATTTATGTGTATTTTAACAATGCATATATTTTTTTTAAACTAAGGTGTTTACAAACATCTGAGTGGTGAAGCTTTAGGTGGTCATGCTGTTCGAATTTTGGGATATGGTACAGAAAATGGTACTCCATACTGGTTGGTTGCAAACTCCTGGAATGAAGACTGGGGTGATAAAGGTATAAAAAAGTTCTAATTTTTTTATTTATTGATTAACAGGTGAATTTTTCAAATGTGATGCTTTAATTGTTAGTATAAGTTAATTTCTAACTGTATTTGTAATTCATTTTCTGGTTATTGTTTTTAGTACTGTCTGTTTGATGTTCTTTTTAAAAGCAGTCATATCTGACTTGAGTGACCTGAATTTGCTTAAATTTATGATTGGTCTATAAAATATTTCAAATAAATTCAAACCATTTAAGAGTTTAGATATATTATGTTCTGGTAACATATATCTATTTAGTTAAGTAAATATACCATTATATGTTTTAGAAAACAATTTTAATAAGTACATACTCTTACATTAGTTTAGCACAAAATAAATATTTTCTCTTGTACAAATAATACTGTTTAATAATGACTCTTAGTTTTGTTAAATAAACTAATAACATTTACATAATTTATTAAATTAGAAAATAATTTTAAATGATTGTCTCAAAAAAGAAACTTATGTTTTTATTAATAAGGGCAACTAGTTTTTAAAGTAAATAAGTTAAGATACCTATAAATCTCAACTTGTGTTCTTAAATGAGATGAAAATTTTAGATTTTTTTGCAATGCGTAATTTCTTTACAAAAATTATTTTTGTTATAAAAAAAAAGTCTGATTTCTTGCCAGGTATAATACTATTATTAATATAATGAAACATTGTGTGATAGTTTGATTGTTATGCAAATTTAAATATTCTCATCGTATATGTTGCTAAGGTATTAGTATGTTAAGTTTTGTGTTGAATAATTTTAACAAACATTTTAATTTTAAAATTTGTATTTTAGGATACTTCAAAATCCTTCGAGGACAAGATGAATGTGGTATTGAAGATGAAATCGTTGCTGGTATTCCCAAGCTTTAAATGAACTTACTATCCTACTTTAATGTACAAATTGTTCTCAATGATCTTGTTTAAAACTGTTTTTTATTGTGATTTTTACCTATAATTTTTTTTTAATAAAACTTTTATAAGCTATTTCTTTGTTCTTGTTAATTCAAAATCAACATATTCAGCTTCGAATCATATTTTGTTCGAAAGAAGATACGAATACTTAAAATTAATTCTTCCCTTGCTGAGGGGTCACGAATGCAACATTTTGGAGTGACAAGAAAATTGACTTTATAAAGAAAAGAGGTAGGAAAATTGTTCTTAAAATAAAGCTTGGGGTGGAAGCTGCCTTTATTAGTTTTACCCTTTTCTTCATTTTGAAAAATGCAATTAAATTTTTAAGATAGGCTTAAAAATAACACAGAAAGGATTAAAGATCTATCACATAGGAGAATAAGCAGGGAAGATACAATATGGTTATAAAATATAATATGGTGAGATATATTATGGTTATAATTTTTTATATGTATTTCTACAACTATCAGTCGTTTCGTTTTTGTACTGCTGATACTTTGAATAAGGAATAAAAATTTGAAATGTGTGCTGTTTGTTTTAAGTGATTTCTTCTGCAATTTTATTGTGAATCTTCTGTTTTTTTTAAGGGGTCACAGTACCCAAAAAATGACCAAAATATCGAAAAAAAATTTTATTGCTTATAATAAAACTTCAAACTGTTTCAAATGCACTGAAAACAAATCATCTCTCTATCAACATTTTTAAAAAAAGTTATGAATGATTTTAGATTGTCCTAACACAGAAACTTGCTCAGCAGACAGATTTTAAAGTGTTTTTACTAATAGATGAAAATTTTGTGTTTTAATCTTAGTTAAATCCCTAAGGAATTTTTTCTATTTAAGATAAAGCTTTGAAGTAAACTTTTTTTTATCTTAAGTATAATTACATTTATTTAAACTGTGCATGGAATAAGCATTTTATGAGGTATTACAATTTTTACAGTATGTTATATATACATAACAGGAATTTTTAACCTTTTTTTTTTTTACTTTTTTATAAAATATTCTAATTGATATGTCAAACAAATGAATGCACAAAATTGTTAAAATGAATATTGTAAGCACCAAGGAAAAAATTTTTTTTTGAAAATATGTTCAAATAAAAAAGTCTTAGAGATTTAAAAAATTTTGAATTTTTTCAATTTTTTTAAAAAAAAATTAAACAGTTTAATTATTTTTTGAATATAAGTTAAATGAGCATATAAAGCATCCACAAAATGAATGATTATACCTTCATTTAAAAAAATTGTTACAAAGGTACTGTGACTATGGGTGTTGGCAGGTATATATTCCAAGTAAGGGTTTAAAACTTTATACTTGTAAATTATATATCTGTTTTATTGCACAACTCAGTGTAAATTCTACTTTCTTTGAGAATTTTGAAAAAATTAAAAGTTTAAATAAAAATTGTTTGTGAAAAATTATTACTATTTAGTATTAGAACTATTCAGGTTCATTACAATGCAGGGTTTCCGCTACGGTAGCTTTTTTCACAAAATGCGAAAAGACCCCTCAAAAATGCTAAAATTCAACAAAGCATTTTCGCATTTTTGCTAAAGGATTTTACTAAATTCCATTTAAAAAAAGCTTAGTAGAAGATTAATATTGAGGGTCCTGAAAATGCATTTAACTTTCAAGAAGCATTTGTAAAATGGGCAAACATGAAAGAAAGGAAGATTGTTAATTATAAACCAAAATGTTTTGATAAATAATAAATGTGTTTTTTTTTTGTTATAGGTATTCTTTTTGATATTCTTGTACATTAAGCTATTCTTTGTCAGATAACTTACAGTACTTGTTTGATATAAAGTAATTTTATAAGCCTAATGGCATTTTAGCATTTTGCTAAAACTTTTTTTCAGATTTTAGCTTTTTTGCTAATGAATTTTTAGACTCAGCTTAAACCCTGTTACAATGTTTATCTCTTGTATCTTATCACTTTTTTCTTCTTCTTTTTTTTAAATCACAAATAATGAACTAACACCAACTTATTGTTAATAGCATTATCTTCGAAGTTCGATATTACCCGTATTTTCTTTCCTTCTGATTCTAACCCGTTAGATACCATTAATCTGCAAATATGCTTCTCATCAACAAAAAAAAAGCTTAGCAATTTAATTTTTCGTTCTAAGTATTTATTTTACAAAATTAAAACATACTGCGCACCATGATTTAATACAATAAATACCTTTTTATCGATCTGAAATCTTTTGATTTATTTAAAACTAAAAATGGCAATTATTAAAAAAATTAAAAAAAATTTTAAAGCCATACCCTAATACAAGATGCATGTGATTTTTAACAAATCTATAGAAAAGTCTTTAACAAATATTTTATTTAAAACACGAGAAGTAAAATTGGACAACCTCACATCACATATGTTTGAGAAGAAGTGAAATATAGGGAATGAAATGTAGTTATAAAACAATTATAGTCAATGAGTCATTATTAAAACAATCAGTCGCCTTGAACACCCTGCGAATAATATGAAATAATCATAGCTTCAGAAAATATTTTTCCTAGTAGCAGCAAAAGTTAAACTCGTGACATTTGAATTGAACCAATTAAAAAAAAAATCACTTGCAGACATGTCAGATTCTTATTAATATTCTTTAAAAAAAATTTTGTGGAAAAGCACTTGATTAAAAAAAATAATAATTTTTTCAGAATTTTAGTGCCGAAACTGTGACTAGGAAGGAGCCTATTTTGAAATTTGACTGAAATAAAATGGTGTAGCTACATATGGTGACTCATCCTTTGTGGACAGTGTCTGCTGTATTTTTTTTATTAATGAACTAAATTTTTTTTATTTTGCTACTATTAGAACGAGAGAAGTCTGAACTATTTAATTTACTTGTTAAAAAGTTGGAAATATATGTATGTATATTTCAACGTGCAATTTAAAAAAAAAAAATTTTAATAAATTTTTTGGAGAAATTTTTTTTGCAAATTTTGGAACCTTTTTGTATTGGAAATCATAACTTTCAACATCTCCATTTTTTACGCATAATATTGAATATTCTAATTTTCAACATAAAAAAAACTGAGGTATTTTTTTTTTGTATTGAAAACTGTGGCATTTGACGTAAGAAAAAAAATTCAAGTCAGTAAACTTTGTATTTGTGCAATTAATAAGTCGACATATTTTGGCAAAAAACATTCAACTTTTTATTTTTTTTAATAACAAAAAACATCTTGAATTTTTTTTTGCATTGAAATATATGACATTTAGCATTATGAGGAAAAAAAATTAAGAAACCTAGTGCTGTAAGAAAATCAAAACATTTTTTGGGTTAAAGCCCGCTTTATTACATTTTTTAATGAAGAAAAACACCTTTTTGATTTTTTTTTATGTTACAAAATATATGAAAAAAATAATAGTAGCAAGTTGCGATTAATGCGTAAAAAATTCCTAAAAATTGCAAAAAATTTTTTTACTATGAAAATGATTTTAATAAATTTTTTTAAATACTTATATATATACTCCCAGAATTTTAATAGTTTAATTACATAAATGTTGCTTTTTTCTTTCGTTTGAAGCAAAAAATTATAGATGTTAAGAACACATGAGCCAACTTCTCTAGTTGTGCCATTTTTCTAAATTAAGTGAAATATTAAAATTGCCCTCTCATCCGTAGTTTTGGTCCAAAAAATTTGGAAAAATTATTTTAGAGCTTTTCCAGCAAATGCTTCTACGCAAAGAATTTCATGAAAATCTGAGACAGGACTTCAACGGACATAGGTCCATTTCACTTGGAATGAGCCATTTATTGCTGTTATATTTTAATAACTTAGAATTTTTAAAAAAAGAAAAGAAATCCAAAACTGAATAATTTGAACAGATGCTATTTAAATTTTAAAGAATCAGAGNCGTGAATTTGGTTTCAAAAGTACAACCCTATTATAGTAAATGTTTTTTCAGTATTCTGAGAAATACCGTGAGGAAAAAAAAGTAGGCATAAGGTTAATAAAAATACATAGTCTTAAAAAATAATAGCTCGCATAATTTCTACTAAAATTTTTATTTTTGCCATTTTCTCTGAGCTCAAGGGGGGTGTTTAAACCCCTAAACCCCTCCCTTGCGTATGCCACTGCTATCATTGACTGGTGATCATAGTGGATTATGCATTAGTGAATTGCTAAGAGTAGCATACTATAATAAATTGAACTGATATAAAACTGTTCTTAAAAATTACACTTTTATCTTTAAATTGTTTCCAATCTTTTATCTAAATATTGTTTAGTAATTTCACATAACTATCACCTCAGTGAACATAACTACATACAGTCATAATTTAAATGATATAATATTATGTGTTTCTGTGCACGTTTTACATATTTTAATGTTTCAAGTAACATGATTAAGAAAAGTATGGTCAGTTTTATTAGTCACCACTTTTTACAATTTTAGTCGTCGTTGGCCACCACGGAGTAATCTTGCATCAGACCTTCATCTATTCTTTTTTGTATACAATTAATTTACTTCACTGACTGTTACGGACATGATGAATAGGCTAAGGTCATGTTCAAGTACGTAGCTCCGAAGTGAAGAAAAGAACACTGTCATGAACAGGTTGAGAGTAATACTTTGCTTGTTTAGAAATAATAGAAGCATACCTGCCAACATTCACTCTTTTCGAGAATGGATTTTCCAAGTGGTAGTAAAACAATTACCAAAAAACTATCTTCCTCTAAAATATATTTACATTTTAATTGCATTGAGATTCGCTGACGCAACGACTAATGTGCTTTTATATATTTGTTGTAATTATTTATATGTAGTAGTGGTCAAACTGATTTAAAATTATTGTTATAATTCAAAAATTTTAGTGAAATAACATGAATTTCGCTAGCACTTTAAATATGAAAATAAAATCTTCCGGGAAAACCGGAAGAGTTGGCAGCTATGTAGAAGACGTTTTGCTTTCTAAAAAATAAAAATAATAATAAAAGAATTTCTTTTAACTACCACTAAATTTTAAAATAAAATATTTATAAGAAATTTTTCAGTTACTGTCGGAATAGAATCTTCTATCCTAAATTCTAGTTTCCATAAGGCATTTGCTGGTGTTTAAAAATACTGGTAATGCTAATTAAATACTGGTAAGGTTGAAGACTTCACAACATTTTAGTTTTGTTCAATATTATCCAGTTAACACTAGGATTTTGGACGTTTCTGATATACCTATCTCTGCGAACACGCGCCAATTTGACGCATGAACGAATACATATAACAGCACTTAAACGGATGACAGCAAATATATATTTTAAAGTGGAAGTTTATAAATTGTGGTTCTTGGTTTAATAAATTCAATTTAGCAGATTTTTATCCACCACTATTTCTAAAATATTCGTAGGCTTATAAATTTCACCACTTTATATTTGCAAAATTTACTTAGTAGTTACTTGCTGTTTTTTTTTCTTTTCTTCTTTTAATTTTTCTGGCGTGTCCGGAGCAGTTAGCATTATATACTATACGAAAAAAAAAGATTGAGATATACATTTATGAAATATTCTAGTATTTTATTTTTCAATACTCGAACTAAGCTAGTGAAACCTTCAAAATCTGACACTGACATCAATTGACATTCTGCTTTTGTTCTTTCTATTATTGCTTATCGGCAACTGTTGTTTATCGCTTGTTTCATTTGAGATAACGATATCGGATAATGGATCGAATTATTGTCGGTACATTCCTATTTATTATTAATGTGATGCTTGCATGCTTACTCAAAATTTTGTCTAAATTACCATGACGCATGTCCGTAGAGATAAGTATACCACAAAGAGAATTTCAATATTTCAACGCTTTTGAAGAAAATAAACCTCAATATATATTTACCTCGATCAATGGATAAAAGTCATTACAAGAGATAAAATAAAAATGCAAGCGGGTTTTGTAATTTTCCTTATAAAATTCGAAATGCGTTAAAATGACGCATCCCAATAAACCTAGTGTTAAGCGTGGAATTTAATTCCAGAAATCTAAAACACGGCGTGGAATTACAATCAAGCAATGACGTGTATACATGTAATTTCCTGTTTGTAATTCCACTATTGCATTGTTCGACGGGGAGCTTGAACGTGTTAAAGTTTTGAGAAAAAAATTAAGAGTTTTAAGCTATATTTCTCCTAATGTAATAAAGCAATCCTTTTATCTTCCACCCTTTTTGAAAGGTATCATGCTGTCTAACAATACTATATAATCAAAACCTTGTGCAAAAAAAATTAATCAAGAAAACGCAAATTAAAAATTTAACCTAAAATCCAAAATGACAATCGAGAGGCCTCTTCAATATCTGCAAAAAATCACGGATTAAAAGTCGGAGAAGTTGGCTGGTCTGTCACACTCTGCTTATGTTTCCCTCTGAGAGAAACTATAATGGAATCAACGAGATGTTTTAAGATGAAGAACGATAACGAAATATATTTATGTTTCTTTTAAAGAAAGATATAATGATAATAAACGCTTTTGAGATCGACGAGTGTACTTCGATAGATCTTCCAATGTTTATGTCAGTAACAATTTTAAGAAAATGAATAACATTTGGTCAGGATGTTTAGTTTTAACAATCTTGTTTTGTTTTGAAGTAAATGTGATTGAAAGTTTTAATTTAACTCTCTTGCATACAAATGATGTCCATTCACACTTTATTGAATTCAATGTTTTTGGCGGCAGATGCTCTCCCAAAATGAGAGATGAGAAAAATTGTTACGGTGGTTTTCCGAGACAAGTGACTAAGGTATGTTGAAAGTCATTTACTTTGCTCGATAATTAATTAATACTTTAATTATTCAAATATTAATAAAATGACAAGAATAATAAATAAGTCAAATAATATAAAGTCAAATATTAATAAAATAAATCTGCAGAATTATACGTTATATAATTCAAGTTTCGATTTCACTTTAAGCTGTATTTCAGTTGAATTTTTAAAGGTATGCCGTTGTTGGTTTCAAAAATGATATCGTAATGAGACATACATTTTAAAACTAAGCTATTTTGGAGGCAATAAATAAAATTTTCTTTGTAGCTGTATTTCAGTTGAATTTTTAAAGGTATGCTGTTGTTGGTTTCAAAAATGATATCGTAATGATACATTTTAAAACTAAGCTATTTTGGAGGCAATAAATAAAATTTTCTTTTGTGGGGATAGTATTTATCCACAAGGTCAACTTTCATCTTTGAAAAGGTACCACTTCATAAAGCCGAGTTGACATGTTTTATATACTAGTGAAGTGTAGTTGTAATTTTGTAGTGGTAGGTACGTTACAGTACTCCCCCACCAGAATTTTATCTGCGATAGAATTCGCTGTACGGATACCGCTAGTTGATACATTGCTGTTTTGTGAGAAGCCGGGAGAGCTGTATTAAGATCACCGTACTTTTACTGACCGTGAGAGCTGTATTAAGATCACGAATAAAATTCTGGAAGGGGAGTAATGTGGGGATAGTATTTATCAATAAGGTCAACCTTCATCTATGTGAAGATTCCCCTTTAATGAAACGAGTTAACATGTATTATATACTGGGGAATTGTAGTTGTAATTTTGTAGTGGTAGGTACGCTACACTTTGCTTAGTTAAAAGAAATTTTGATTTTTTTAAAAAAAATATAAAACGTGCATTGGTACCTTTATTCATAATGTTGAAAGGGACAAGTAGTTTTTATCAACAAAAAACCATCGTAACAGAGGGTTAAACGAGATTTTTTTTATATTTTGCTTCGTATTACTTTGGCTTAAATTCAATGAGAGCAAAACTGGTTTTAACTCTTAAATAATTTAATTGTTAAGTAATTGCCTTATAATTCTCAAGTAAAAAATTAATAAAAGAAAATACATAAAATAAAAAGCAGCCTCAAATAATAGCTTAATAAAGTGGATATTTTACATTTTTACCTTTTCCATTTTTAAAATTACAGTTAACATGATTTCAATTTACAATAGCGGATGGAACTCTCAATTCAGTAAGCTTGACGTTATAAACAAATACACATATTTAATATTAAAAACAATCATAAAAAAAATTTAAAGACGAAATAGACACATTTTCTTCTTTTCCTTTAATTTAATATTATGAACATCTATTTGCTTTAAAATAGAGAAGAGTGAATCTATTGAACTGCATGATTTAAGAGGAACATTCTAAAAAATTTTGATCAGTCAATTGAAGATTATTTTTCTAAGATAAAGTTTACGCATCTAAATATTAAAGCAAAATATAAAACAAAAAAACAATATTGTATGAAAATAAAAATAGTTTGGTGACCACAAACAATTGAAATCAGTGATTTTTGCTTTAAGTCAATGATTAGCTGAATTATTTTAAAGATTGTAGCCTTACATCTACAGCTTTGCATATTTGTTAAGAATAAGCTTTTAGTTCATGTTGACACTAATCATTTATAAGAAACTTTGTTAATGTGCATTCTCGTTGCATTTGCTTAAACCGTTGGAGTAAAAATTGCACCAATTAAAATTCAGCTGTACTTACGAATTTGATTAGTGCAATGTTTACACGAGTTTGGTTTGTCACAATATAAAGAAAATTTGAAACAAAAAATGCCTTTTTTGAGAAAAACTGCTTCTTTCAGTATTTTTTTTAAAAAAGTAATATCGTGGACTTTTTACTAGTTTTTGAGGTTCCCCAGAAAGTGTGGGACCTAGGCCTGTGCCTATTGGGCCTAGGTGATAATCAGGCCCTGCACAGAAGTCAGTTGCCAAGCAATTAAGGGATAATAACTGGCATCGACGATTCAATTCAATTGTCAATTTACTTGTCAATTCAATCTTCAATCAATGTCAAATCAAACTTTTCTCAATTGCATTTCAACCGAGTAGATTTAGATAGAAATTTCCTAAGCAATGAATTACCCTTGGGAAACATAAATTTTTTTTTTTTTTTTTTTTTTTTTTTTTTTTTTTTTTTTTTTATT